GGAGCAGCCTAAAGGAATATAAACCCAATGTAGAATAAATTCAACGAGAAGAATAAAGAAGGATAGAGAAATCTGAACAAGAATGGGAAAATATAACCAAGAATAAAGTTAGGCAAGCTCTAACGAAGTCCCAAAAGTAGAAATTTTATATGACAAATCCAATAAACATAAACAACATTAGGGTAGAATTCCTTGAAAACAACAGAGGTGAAATCATTGAAGCGAAAAAACACATCATTCAAATAATCAGTCAAGTAATTCATACAAAAATATCAGAAAGACCGACTCCCAAAAATGCGTATGACATTGTCGAATGAACACATTGTGCAAATATAAAACGATGCACCGCAAATACTATTAACAGACAGACGACTGGAAAACACCACAGAAGTAACTATTGCCATATACGCAACAGCTTCAGCAGCTAGTGAGATACCTGGTGACATGATAAAGAAAATATCAAACAACAGACAAAACAAATCAGCTTTGAAGGTAGAATTGAAGCGAGAAATAAAGGAAATCACATGTGAGTTATAGATATTGGACGAGATCTCATGAAACCTAAATATTTCAACATGCAAATGCAGAAAGATCAAGAGAAGATACAAAATTACATTACTAACTTAAATCCTACCAACCAAAGAAATATTTAAACAGAAATGACAATTAAAGTCACAAAGAAGAAGACGATACAAAAAGCTTTGTAGTTTCAATCGACAAAATAGGATAAAACTTAAATAGCTATCATCTAATGAAAAAGTGCAAAATCTTTGGAAGAATATTTGAAGCAACCCAAAGGAATAGAAGCTTACTGCAAAGTGGAGCATCCTGGGTAAAACGATAAACTACACCCGACAGCAAAGCCTCTGTTCAGGAGGTTTTAAGGAGCGTGGAACCACCTCTTAATTACTCGTGTTCTCAGGTCCACCCAGACCCGAGATGGTAGCGTTTGTTAGGGTCCCAGCTATGGGTAAATAGTTAACCTCCAAACTGGGGTCAAAACATTATGAAAGTGTAAAAATAGATTTTAATACCAGAAATACTTTGTAAAAAATTATTACCAGCAATACATTTTTTAAAACCCCCTTCTGTTATGGTCCAAGTTCCTTGTACCACGGTGATGGCCCAAGGTTAGAAGCAATGAAAGAATAACACGAACACAGGTATGGAATACAAAGATATATTACAACAGAAATATAATACAAAGAAGTAGAAGTATTAGTAATGACTATCAGATTTGGTTAGAGTGAACTATGTTGTCTCGACAAGTATCACTATTCCAATATCCTTACAATATGCTCTCAATTATCTCTCCTCGTCTTACAAGTTGATATGCCGTAAAACAAAACAAAGCAAACCAAACCAACAAAATGGATCAAACGAAAACTAGAAAGAATAAAGGATAAACCCGTGCAAGAATAAATAAATATAACCACGAATGATGACAATCTCTAAAAAAATCCCCAAAATAAAAATTCCCAAGAATCCCCAATCTATTATAACCTTCCGCAAACTTCATCAACGGTAATTAATAAACCCGATGAAGTCCCAGAATTACATCTCCTACCAAAAACGATTGAAATAGATGAACCAAAAAAACTATAGACTAATAACATGTCTGTCCACCACGCAATTATTTCTATTGTGTTGTAAAAAATAAAATATTTTGTGGGGTTTTGTTTGCGAGGATCTTTTTAATTCATTTATCTCATCTTGAAAGAAAACAAACACTCAATAATAAATTTTATTTAAATTTGAAGAGCTATGTTTGAAGATTATTTCTTTTCTTCGCTTTTCGCGCGCTTTTTCTGAAGAAAGGACAAGAAACAACAGAAATGTGGTTCTATAGAATGATGCTGAGTACACCATGGTCCGAAAATGTGAGAAGCGACGAAGTTTTAGAGAAAATGGAGGCAAAAATAAATCTTATATTCAATACCAGGAAGAAACAGTTGAGGTTTCTAGGACTCATAATGAGGAAAGAGGGTTTGGAAAATCTGATGCTCACAGGATAGATTGAAGGCAAGAGAAACAGAGGAAAACTTAGTGAGCTTGAGTAAATGGATGTTGGAACAGGGTTTTTGGAGAGATAACGGAAAGACAAAATTTATTAAGAGTTTGGAGAGAGTAGACATGGTCAAATACAAAATAAATAAAAGAATCTGTCTATATTTCTGAGATGAGGTATTATGTACATTATTTACATTATTCGGACTATTGTCCTCATCTTTGTCGCCATATTTATCACAACGTTTCGGCCGTTGTACGCTTCGGCCTTCTTCAGGTGGTTGGAATTTCGAAGCAATGATAACAACAAAAGTTGCAATATGAGCTCTGGTAAAAACATAAAATGATAACAGCAAAATTGCAATATGAGCACTGGTAAAAATGGTTGCTGAAGATATTAGGTTTATAATACCCAGAAATTCATACCCACATGGCACAGTGGATAAAGGCGTTGGTTCCAGTGACAGAACCCAAAGAGTGTGAGTTCAATACACGGTTAAGGCAGTAGGGAAATTAGCAGGAGATAACTGATAACTGACATCCATCAAACATGGCACGTGGAACTAGAACAGTCTACCCCAGTGAGCGAAATAAAGGGTTCAGTTCAAAATTCCAACCACCTGAAGAAGGCCGAAACGTTGTGATAAATATGGCGACAAAGATGAGGACAATAGTCCGAATAATGTAAATAATGTAAATAAAAGAACTCATCAAGATAAAAAGAAAACAAGAACAGGGCCCCCAAAAAATATCTCGATTAAAACATTCTTCGTCCTGAAACAGAAGGTATGTCGGAGAGGTTGATACGGTTGCAAAGGTCAACTATTAATAAAGAAAATGATCAAGAAAAAGGTAGAAATCTCATCCCAGCACGGATAGATTACCGTAACATCTTGGATCCTTAATGCTTAAACATCTCTTCGGTGATAACAAATTTGCTTAATTATACCTAAATCACACCAAATAAACTGTCACTTCCAGAAAAGACCAGAAAAATGCTTACCCCAATGAGGATGCACCACCTGAAATCAGATGTTGATAGGCTGTATGTACCAAGAGTTTTAGGAGGTCAAGGTCTAATTCAATTTGAATTAACTCTAAAAACTACAACAATAGCATTAGAACCAATAACCCTCTCCTGCATATGTTAAAACACCAAATCTTCAAGAAACAGCTTAATGTACCTGAAATTTTCCCAAGAAAAAATGAATAGCATTTATGCCAAATGAATAAAGCAGAAAGCAAAACAACTTGGCCAAATGAAATTACAAAAACCTGGAAGGACAAGGCGTTGCATGGCAAATACATACAAAGAAAGAGATAAGCAGATATGGACCAACAGAAAAGACATCCGTGGCTGAGAAGCACCGGGTTGAAAACTGAGACAGAAGGCCTAATTATGGCAGCGCAGGACCAAAGCCTCGCAACCAGATCCTATCACTGTCACATAATCAAGGATGGAACTAACCCAAAATGCAGGATCTGCGGAAAATAGAATAAAACTGTTGGCCATATTATGTCAGGATGTCCGAAACTAGAAAAAAAATGAATATACCCACAGATATAAAAAGATAGCGACATATGTGCCCTGAAAGATATGCAAGAAGCACAAAATCAAAAACCACTGAGAGATGGTATGACCACCAACCAAACACAATTACCCGAAATAACGAGATTAATAAGATGTGAGGAACGAAGACTGAGGCTATACCAATAGTAATCGGAGCACTGGGCTTCGTGAGAGAAGGCATGGACAATTTTACTAAGAGTGTCTCAGGTAACATCAACATACAAGTGACCCAAAAGATCGCCCTACTATGAACATCCCATATAGTAAGAAAAGCGCTATTAATTAAATGACAATTCTCGTGTAGGGCCTAAAAACAATGGTTTTGACTCGGCACTAAAGGATACAAATCAGGAAACATAACCTACACAAATGATAATAAAACCAAATCGATTCCATCAACAAAGAAGCTGCACTCTCAAAAAACAGCTTAATAGACCTGAAATCCTACAAAAATAAACGAAGCGAATACCATCCACGCCAAACGAGTAAAACAGAAAGCAAAACAATTTGGCTAAATGAAATTGCAAAAAAACTGATGGACAAGACGTTGCATGAAAAATACCTAAAAAGAATGAAAGAAGCCGATGTGGACCAACAGAAATTACATCAGTGGCTGAGGAGGACAGGGTTGAAAGCTGAAACAGAAAGCCTAATTATTGCAGCTCAGGATCAAAACCTCGCAACCGGATCCTATCACTGTCACGGATAAACTAAAGATGGAACCAATCCGAAATGCAGGATCTGCGGAAAATATGATGAAACTGTCGACCATATTATCTCAGGATGTACAGAACTAGAAAAAATAAATATAACCACAGACATAACAAGGTAGCGACATATGTGCACTGGAAGATATACAAGAAGCACAAAATCGAAACCACTGAGAGATGGTATGACCACCAACCAGACACAGTTACCCAAAATGACGATGTAACTATCCTCTGGGACATACCAATTCAAACTGATAGGTAAATAAAAACCAACTAACCTGATATTGCCATAAAAAACAAGAAATTCAGGAAGTGTATGCTTATTGACATAGCAGTACCATCTTGGAATGACGCCTCCATAAAATTTTTGAGAAATTGTCTAAGTACATGGAGCTGTAGATTGAGATTAACAGGATGTGGGGAATGGAGACTGGGACAGTACCAATAGTAAGCGGAGCACTGGACCTCGTGAGGAAAGGAATGGACAATTTTACTAACAGTGTCCCAGGTAACATCAGCCTACAAGTTGCCCAGAAATTCGCCCTACGAGGAACATCCCATATTCTAAGAAAAGTGCTGTCAATTAAATGACGATTCTCCTATAGGGCCTCAGTATCATAGTTTGGACCCGACTCTACAGGATACAAAGCAGGAAACTTAACACACAAACGACAACATCCACAACAATAATAATAATAATTGAAGAATCAGCTTCAGTCTAGGATGAAAAAAAAGGCACAAAAAAGGCACAAAAAAGAAAAAAGACACAAAAAAGAAAAAAAGCACAAAAAAAGAAAAAAGACACAATAAAGAAAAAAAGCACAAAAAAGAAAAAAGACCCAATAAAGAAAAAAAGCACAAAAAAGAAAAAAGACACAATAAAGAAAAACACAAAAAACAAAAAAGACACGAAAAAGAAAAAAGCACATAAAAGAAGAAATATTCAGCGTTTCTTTGTTCGATTCACAAAATATCATTTACAAATAGTAAATACGCTAAAAGCAAAATGCTTTATAAATATATATGGGAAATAAAAACAAAAAGTTAAATTACACCTAAAATATCATAGAAAATATGAAAAACAGTATCAACCTACAACAATATATCCCAAAAGTGTAAATTCTGTTTAGAGGAGAAAACTTCTATAATTACCTGTCATGATTCCTTTTCTGGCATTATGTCTCTGATTGGGACCCAGTAAGAAATTGGTAGACAGCAGAAATCAAAAGAAATAATAATAATAATAATCACCCCCAAATGAAGGAAAAAATTAGAAAAGAGTACTACAGGCGTGTACGTCTGGTACTAAATACTGAGCTAAACTCAAAAAACAGAATATCAGCCATAAACACATTGGCTGTCCCTGTGGTGAAATACAGCTTTAATGTCCTTCACTGGACCATAGCTGAAATTAAGCGAATGGACGCCAAAACGAGAAAGCGTCTCACTTGCTATCGCATGCATCATCCCAAAGCTGATGTCGACCGTCTGTATGCGCCCAAACCCGAAGGAGGCAGAGGATTAGTTCAACTAGAACTGTCCTACAAAACTACAACAATTGGCCTCCAAAGATACTTGGAAACTACAGATGACTGGATGATGGTATGCGTCAAGGAACATGAAAGTAGTAAGCGTCTTTTTCCGCAATAAAAAAAAGAAGCCAACAAATTCAAAATGGAGTTTCAAATGGGCATAGAGATGCAACTACAGCACAATACACCGGCTGAAACTGCAAAATACTTAAAAAAAAAACAGCAAAGACGAATGCAACCGACCAGATACAGAAGAGATGCCAAGAGAAACCGCTTCATGGCCAATACTCTGCCCGTACCAAACAAGCTGACGTAGACAAAACCCGTACCCATCAGTGGCTACGTAGTGCAAGGTTGAAAGCTGAAACTGAAGGTTTTATCCTTGCTGCACAGGCCCAATGCTTGTTAACTAGGAATTATCAAGCACATATACTAAAATATTGTGTTAGCCCAAAATGCAGATTCTGTGATAAATATCCAGAAACGATTGATCATCTTGTATCAGGTTGCACGGTGTTAGCACCGACTGAATATAAAACCCGACATGACAGAGTGGGCCAATATCTGCACTGGAAAATCTGCAACTTCTACGGGAAGGAAACTGAAAGAAACTGGTATGAACACCACCCAGACCCGGTTACGGAGATAGGACCTGTTACAATTATATGGGACTACACAATACACACTGACAGAACAATCAAAGCCAACCGCCCAGATATTGTTATTAAAGACCACAAACAAAAAAGTGACTCCTTATTAATATGGCAGTCCCTGCTGACTGCAATGTATCTTTGAGGATATTCAAAAAGCTGTCAAAATATAAGGACCTTGAAATAGAAATGTCAAAAATGTGGCGCATGGAAACATCAACAATCCCTGTTGTAGTTGGAGCCCTAGGATTGGTTGTAAAAGATTCCAGTAGACTAATTGAATGGATTCCTGGAAGTCCATGCCTCAAAGAGATACAAAAAATTATTCTCATAAGTACAGCCCACACTTTACGAAGGGCTTTATCTATGTATCTTTTTTTTTTTTTTTTTTTTTGTCAGTGGAAAATTTCATGATGCCATTTCTAACCTTGGGGACCCGGAAAGAAATGTGTACAAGCCAGAAATCAAAGGAAATAAAAATAATAATAATAATAAAGACGGCAAGTAATGAGGAAGTGAAGAATCTTTGAATCCACCCGCTGATGAAGACATCATGATGACGCTGATATTAACTCAAAATAATAAACACTGAATATTACTTCTACTGCTATTATTTTTATCGGAACCTTTTTTTTCCTTAATATCATCGCTGTTGTTACCAAATCATTAGTAGTTATGTAATTGGACTCTTATTAATTAATTTGATATTACGAATGACAGCAAAAAAAAGGGGGAATGAAATGATTGGTATTAGTACTCATACTAAGTTCTACTAGCACTACCTTTAATACGAAAAATACAGATCTTTAGAAGAAGGAAGAGGAAGATGAGGAGGAGGAAAAAGTAAGAGGAGGAGGGAAAAAGGAGGTGGAGGGAAATGAGTGTGGAGAAAAGAAGAGGGGAAGAAGGAAGAAAGAAGAAGAGAGAAAAAAGTTGAAGAAGGGGTAAAGGAAGACGAGGAGGGAAGAAGAGGAAGAAGAAGAAGAAAAGAGGTAGTGAGAGGGATTTAATAAAGAAGAGGAGGAGGAGGAAAGCATAAGAGCCGATGGAAAAGAATAGATGAGGGGGAGAATGATAAGAAAACGAGAAGGGGAAAAAGAAGAAAAAGAAAAGGAGGAGGCAGTTAAGAAAGACGGTGTGGAGGAAGGGATAAGTGCTGATGGAGAGGATAAGAAAGAAAGAAAGAAAGAAAGAAAGAAAGAAAGAAAGAAAGAAAGAAAGAAAGAAAGGGTGGATGGAGAGGGAGTTAAGAAAGGGAAGGAATAAGAGCTGATGAAGAGGAGGAGGAGAGGGAGAGAAAGATGAGAAAAGAAGATAGAAGAAAGTGAAGAAAAGGAAGAGGAGAGTTAGGAAAGAAAGAGGGGGAAGGTATAAGAGCTGATGGAAAGAAGAAGAAGAAGAAGAAGAAGAAGAAGAAAAGGAGTAGGAAGGGATAAGAGCTGATGGAGATGAGAGGGAGAAAGATGAGAAGAAAAAGAATAGGAAGAGGAAGAGGAGAGAAGGAATAAAAGAAGAAGAAGAAGAAGAAAGAAAAGGAGAAGGAGGGATAGCTGATGAAGGGAAAAAAGAAGAAGAAGAAGAAGAAGAAAAGGAGAAGGATGAGAAATTGATAGAAGCTGATGAGGGGGAGAAAGATGAGAAAGGAAGAAAAAGAAGGAAGGAAGAAGAAGAAAGTGACGAGGAATAAGAAACACAAAGAGGAGGAGGAGAAGGAAGGAATGAAGAAAAAGAAAGGGGGAGAAGAGAAGCGAAAGCTTTCACATATATAGAAAGCCAAATCCACTCACCTTTTCAACTCATAGCTGGAGAAAACGTCAATGCCTTTCCAAAGAGCACAGGGGCGAAAGTGAACCTAACAGACTAGGGTGGGATTTGAACTCAGAACGCCAGTTCCAATATCAGCACCAATACTCGTTACACTACCTACATCTATCAGTTTCGCTACTACTAATCGTTATTGCTACTACTATTACTACTATTCCTTTCCATCGGCGCCATACTTACTTCAATTCTCATCGATGTTAATACTAAGTCATTGATAGCTATAAAAATATTTTAGCAATTAATTTAATATTAGGAATGACAGCAATAAAGGGAAAAGTATACTGCTCTAAAGGCGATTGAAATCATTGCTATTTTTCCTCATACTAAGTTGTACTATTGCTACTAATAATAATGTTTGTAAGAATTCATTGTGAAGATGGTAACTACTGAAGCTGCTGTAACTGTTGTTTGAAAGAAAAAGCTAGCAAAGATTTCTGTGTATGTTTTAATATTTCTTCAATTCTTGCCGAATCAATTACTAAGTGTAAAAAAGCCAGAAATCAGCACGAGTAACAATGAAAGTCCCAACAAAATGACCCCACCACCCCAGCAAGAGACGAACTTGCGGGAAACATTCCCCGAAATAAATAAACAAATTACTGTGTAACAAATAGTAACAATCTTTCTTTCTTCCATTTTCTTTTCTTTTCATTTTTTTTTTTTTTTTAGCGGGAATTACTTGACAAACGCTTCTCTCTCTTTCTCTCTCTCTCTCTCTTAGTTTCTCGCTCATTCTCGCGTTTTCTCGTTTCTCTTCGCATTTCCCGTTCGTTCATCAACGAATTTTGACGATAAGGGGGGGTTCAACTGACGGACCAACTCGAATCCGAAGGCAGAGAGGAAGACGAAGACAGCTGTGTTTTATATGGCGGCGTCTATAGTCGGCTCACCCACCCATTGCAATAGCCGACCTTACACCTGATTTTATAACAACAATAACAATATCATCATTAACAATCAATAGAAAACTAATAATCAAAACATCGCTGTCACCATATATATATATATATATATATATATATATATATATATATATATTGGTATTTTGTAAGACGTCTTGGCTTTTATTAAAGTCAAAATATAAATAACAAGGGAGAAAATATGCGGAGATAGAAAAAAAAACAAAGAAAAAAGTCACCATTTCTCACAGAAAGAATTCTCACTGACTGGACGTACCCGACTCAAAAGGAGGGAAATGTGGAATACCAAAATTCACAAACGGAATTCAAATCTTGGCTTTTATCTGCTTAATTCCTTTGCAAATTGGAATATCAATCTTTATTTTAGGATCGGGGTATATTCACATAGATTATGACCTTATCCTCATCCTTATCTCAAAATATATCCCGGAAAAAAAATCGAAATCTTTTTTTTCTTTCTACATATATATTTATATATAAATATGCATATATAAGCTGATATATTTGTATGCGTAAATATATATATATATTTGCTTGTTTATATATACATATATAGCTGTGTAAGTGTTGTGTTTCGATATTTTCAGTGTTAGTTGTTTTGCTGTTGTGTTTTATACAAATTTATTTCTCGTCAAAGAAAAAAGAGAGAAAGAAGAAAGGACTAATGTTTTATTAATTTTTATAATTCATGCTACATCTAGATTTATTGAGGAAATAATCACTTCCCAATCTGTATTTACCGATCTATTCCTATCTAAAAAATTGTTGATATCTATCTATCTATCTATCTATCTATCTATTTATAATTCATTGAGAAAAATCTAGAAGCAGTTCTCCTTAATTTCGTGATTCTTTTCTTCTGTACGATTCTGTGGCATAACAAAAAGGTGTTTGATCATACATATATACGACATTATAAGTAAAAATAGACATCAAGAGACTTCAATAGCGAATGTTTTTATTTATTCGGCTAAGTTTCTATCTATCTTAGTAGCTCTCTCTCTCTCTCTCTCTCTCTCTCTCTCTCTCTCTCTCTCTGTCTGTCTCACTTTACACACACACATATATATATATATATACACACACAAACGCAAACTCGTATATAAACAGATAGTATGTATATATATATATAAATACATGGACACACACAAATATATTTATGTACATCTTATTATATATTTGCTATTCATATGGTTAAAACTTATGTAAATTATCAAAATAAATCATATATAATTATAAATCCTAAATATACATATAGGGAGGCAGATATCTACGTATAAATACCCACACATTTATAATCTATCTATCTATCTATCTATCTATCTATCTATCTATCTATCTATCTTTGTTCATTTTGTATTTATATTTGTTTATTATCTATCTATCTATCTATCTATCTATCTATCTATCTTCGTAATTCTGCCCCTGTCTGCATATTACTAATCATATCTAGCTAGCTATCAGCAATCTTTTCCTATGTCAAAAATTGTTATCTATCTGTCTATCTACCTATCGATCTATCTGTTATTTTGCTAGATTTATTGAGAAAATCTGGTATCAATTCTCCTTAACTTAATGATTCTATTCTTCTGAAAGTCTTCCTAATATGACAAAAACGTGTTTGACCAAATATAAACAACCATTACGAGGCAGTCCAAGCAGAGAACAGGTAGATACGTTCAAATAATCCATTCATTTCAGTTACAAAGACCTTAGTAAACATGTATATCTCAATAGATAAATAGACATGATAGCAAATGCTTCAAACACACATGTATTCCAAATCAGAAAATATACTATAAAAAATATCTGATTTTTTTTATAATCTTATTCATATATATATATATTAAATAAACAAAAATTTACTTATATTTAAACAAACTTACATCGGGGAATATATAAATATATATCTATATATATAAATGTTTATATGTATATACAAAAATATATGTATATTTGTGTATGTTTGAGCATGTGCATATGTACACATTTGAATGGGTTCCTGAACTGTAGTTAGCGTATAAGTGAATATATTTCATAAAATTTGACAGTCTACAATTTCTTGGTAGGTAAGTAATCCTCGGATATATTCGGAAAACATAGGCAGACCTTGAAGAGATCTGTTAAGTTTTTCACTTCTACAATTAAGTGACATCTTTTATTTTTATTTAAGCACATACTTATACACGCACATTCACTCACAAACGCTCACACACACACACACACACACACACACACACACACACACATATATATATATATATATATATAGGTGCACTAAATCTTGTCTTAATATATATATATATATATATATATATATATATATATATATATAATCATATGTTCACGTTAAATAATACGCATAATTCATAAATATTTGTAAGAGTACAACTACTTATATATAATATATTTATATATATATATAAATATTAATACACTATATATATAAAAAACACACACACATACATATATATATATATATATATATATATATATATATATATATATATATATATATATATATATATATATATTAAAAAAAAACTATCAAGAGACCTCAATAGAGAATTTTTAAATCTATTTCTCTAAGTTCCTATCTATCTATCTATCTTTGTACATATCACTTTCACTGACACACACATACACACACACTCTCTCTCTATATATATATATATATATATATATATATATATATATATATATATTTATGCACTTATATAAATACATGCATTCTTAGAGGTACACAAACATAAAATCGTATATGAACAGAGGCCTATTTGTTATACACAGATGAAGAGTCACACACACACACACACATATATATATAAATACATAAACTTATAGAAATATATGTAATGCACAGGTCTATTTACTTAAATCTTTTATATATTTGCTATTCATATGGTTAAAACCTAAGAAAATTACTATCATATATGTATATATATACAGAAGTCTATATTTACTTATAAATTCTACTCCGTTTACATTCTATCCATCTCTGTTCCTTATCTATCTATCTATCTATCTATCTAACTATCTATCTATCGATCTCGATTCCTTTTCTCGCTATCTTCGTAATCTCTCTAAATTATATATTACTGCTCATATCTATCTCTATCTCATTATCTTATCTATCTATCTATCTATCTATCTATCTATCTATCTATCTATCTATCTATCTTAGTTCCATATCTATCTTTCTTATCTATCGACCTATCTCAGTTCCTTATCTATCTATCTATCTATCTATCTATCTATCTATCTATCTATCTATCTATCTGATCCGTCCTTGTTTGTACAGATTGTTTTCTTTTGGTTATCAATTGAACAGGAATTTTTATTCAAATGCCCAAACCCAACATTCGTTACCCATCTTAAACCACAGCAGACATTTTTGATCCACGCCCACCAACAAAGTCTGTACATTTTTAGTCTGTAAAATCGTGAGCACTGCTTGACATCTCTCATTATATAATGAAGATTTATCTACATTCATAAATATTCATCCACACACAAAAAAAACAGATTCGTTTTCGATTTGTTCTTTAAACGTGCGTTAAATTTGCCAGTGAAAATCAAAACTGAAATTTGTAGATATTCCCAGATATCAGTATCAAGCCAGCATTATTGTTTACATTCAGATTTTGTCGATTCAAGACAGTGTCCCCCCGCCCCGTATAGAATATTCGTGTTGGTATATGTGTTTGCGTAGACGAAAAAAATACACGCACCCACCCTATAAAAACAAAACAAAACCTCTTAATATATTTATACGGTCATTAAATTGCAAATGCACAAACACGATGGAATTCTTTGTTTTATAAATTAACTCCATCGTGTAGCAATGAATGATTTTCTTCATTCACCACGCGAAGAAAAAAATTACAGCTACCGTCGTACAATTCAGATCGATTTCTGTCAGTCGAGGTGAAGTACCTATCAATCAATTCAAACAATAGTCATCTTGTTGACATAAGTATACATATATATATATGTATATGTATATATACATGTATATGTTTCGCAACGTGCGTGTATCGGAATTTTGTGTGTAGATTCCTCACGCATCTTACACAGAAATATATATATATATATATATATATATACATATATATATATATATATATATGTGTGTGTGTGTGTGTGTGTGTGTGTGTTCTTTATTGCGTCTCTCGAATGCATAGGCCGGTAGACGTAATTCCTGCTTTTAAAGACATAAGAGAACATCTACCCAAACATTTTTATATATGAAAATAACGTTTACAGTTCTCTCTCACTTTCTATATACATATATATATATATAGGTATATGCATTTTAAATACACCAGAGTTTTTAAAAAATCATAAAGTGTCATGTCCCACGTTGAAATGTTTTCTCTCCGATACCCATGAGTAAAAATATTTTTAGGAAAGCCTGGCAGTTCGTATTCTACCATTGCGTCAGACACGTGACTGTTGCTTTCGGGTAGATACCTATTTGAATATACTCGTGTTAATGTAAGTTTCCACGTTGACATTAATATAAATAATGTGATATACATTCCTGCATATATATACATATATATATATATATGTGTGTGTGTGTGTGTGTGTGTGTGTGTGTGTGTGTGTGTGTGTGTGTAAAATATATAGCAAATAGGAAAGAACTCGTTAGGTAAATAATCCAAAGTTCTTTAATATTTTTGTTATTAGTTTTTAAAAAATAGTGCTCGATACAAAAGTAGAGCATAAATATAATTATTTATTTAAAAATATGATTCCAACTCTACATAAGAGTTCTCATGTTTCAAAACAAGAGTCGAAAACTTCAATATAATTATTTGAATTAGATTGAATTAAAGTACCAAGCCCTGTTCCATCTTCAAGCGAATTTTTTTTTTTTTTTTTTTTTTTGTTGGAGGGTATGGTCTAGATATTTGCATAACTTGTTAAATTATCTAACATTCAAATTTAAGAAAAATATTTATCGATCATTCTCTGGATTCACAAAGCCCAGATCGCCCGAGGTTAGAATTGTGGATATTAAGAAGTCATTAAAACAGTTCTTATTTCAATTGTATGATGTTCTTGAAAGTAGATATATAGCTGTGTGTCTACAAATGCACGCAGAAATATTCAAGCATAGACTCAAACACATTTGCATACAACGAGAACTACAAATATTAGGCAGAAAAAACGAGGGTGTTCGATAGACACGCTAGACTGTTTGTCGCACGTTAAGTGGTTGGATTTTACGAGTGGAGATTAAGAACAAGATCTCATCGGGATAAGATTAGCTTTATCAACAGTAAGAATTAAAGAGAATTAAAAAAAGAAAACAGAGGGATCAATAAATATAGATATAACTTTCTGTTTGGTAATCTCGCTCGCTGTTACGTTTAGCTTATATCCATTTATCTGTTTGCTTGTACCTACAGTTCTTTCACTATCTATCTATCTATCTATCTATCTAATTTGTTTCTTTATCTATCTATCTATCTATCTATCTATCTATCTAATTTGTTTCTTTATCTATCCATCTATCTCTCTCTCTATCTAATTTGTTTCTTTATCTATCTAACTATCTATCTATCTATCTAATTTGTTTCTTTATTCATCTATCTATCTATCTTTTCTATCTATCTATCTAATTTGTTTCTTTATCTATTTGTCAATCAGTCCATTCTGTATAATAAAACTTATTACTATTTGTAATTAATATATATATATATATATATATATATATATATATATATATATATATATATCCATACACCTTTATACATATATATATATATGTATTTCCAAATTTAGAAAGACTTCAGTTGTTTGATTTGAAACTGTTTATAATAATCACTCGCTAAGTCTGGCATGTGGACACATTTTTGGAGCGCGTAAAACTGAGATCAAATTGTTGCACTGATCTGTTGGCCTAGTGTATTAATCATTACTCCACATAAAAAATCCCCTAAAATTTGATTTACCGGTAACAGGTATTTTGATTCTATCCAAAAGTTTTAAAGAATATTTAAGTTATACTCTTGACGGAGTCCCTGCGTACACCGGTACGTTGTGTGTGTGTGTATGTGTGTATGTGCGTACACGTTCTTTAATTCCAGACGAGACACCAAAAAATTGCGCACCTGTGTGTTTGAACAGCGACGCCAAATATTTGCATCCTGTAACGGCGATTTTCTTTTCTTATCCCTCCATTTTTAAAATATATATTCCCTCTCCCTCCTCTCTCTCTCTCTCTCTCTCTCTCTCTCTCTCTCTCTCTTTTTTCTCTCTCTTTCTCTCACCCTTTTGTTTGCAAATAGTTTTCCACATGTAGTTGTGCCGCATTCATTTGAATTCCTTTCATCGGAGATTTACTGGAAAGAACGTATTATACGCTCAAACGTCACATTTTCCTTCGAGGCCTCACAGTCACAAGCTGCAACAGAGACAAAACCAAGCGATAAATTCCTGCGCGTAACTAACCAATCTAAGACAGTTGTATACCAGAAAAGAAGATACCACGCCTGTTGTTCTGTTCATACAATTATTCGGAATTTTTTAATGAATATATTTATTACGAAAAAAAAAGGAATTATTTTGAAATTTTCAGCAATTACTTAATAATTAGCAGGGAGATTAGTTTCTACATTTACTGTGATATTAATATTTGATCTCTTTCTCACGTTGCGTCTCTCTCTCTCTTTCTCTTCCACCTTCTCTCTCCTATCCTCTTTCAATATTTCTTATTTCTACCCCTTTTCTCTAGATTTCTATCTACCATTCTTTCTTTTCTCATCTCCTGGTTCTCGAATATATTCGTCCCCTTATTAAACTATTTATTCATCTAGTCTATATTTCTTTCCATTTCTCAAAAAACTCTCTCTCTCTCTCTCTCTCTCTCTCTCTCTCTCTCTCTCTCTCTCCGGTCACTCCTCATCACTTTACATATTTCTATAGAGTATATATTTATATATATACCAGAGATCGTACATATATCTCTAAATCTTCACATATGCATCCGCGTTTTCCGATATACACGCACGCACATATGTGTTAATTACATAGCCTTACATTAAGCTGTATTTTTCATATTTGTAAGTATCAAAAACATCTATCTACCTATCTGTCTTAATCTTTTCATATCTATCTATCTTTTTCTTGTATAACTAAGCCTCGATTCGATTCGATCGATCAGGCTCAATTATCACGCTCTTTGTCGGTCAGTTTCCATCTTATGAGTTACACAAACAAACAAGCAACTGCTTGACGCGAACAAGTGTTAATAATTACGAACTGCATACACAAATAGAAAAAAAATCTAACTTAATGATTCTTATATTTTGATAACCTTACGTTTTCCGGGAATACGATCTAGTTACCATGTTAAACTTATCTTAAATTAGTTGACGAAAAAGGCTTCTCATCCGAGTAAACTAACATCGTTTGAATTATATATCACGTGTACCTCGAATTATCTTTTTTTCCGAAAGTACACAGTATTGTATCAAGTAAATATTAATTTACCGATAGCATTATAATCTATCTATCTATCTATCTATCTATCTATCTATCTATCTATCTATCTATCTATCTATCTATCTATCTGTTTGTCTGTCTGCCCATCTGTCTATCTATCTCAGTCTGTTCACATCTATCTATCTATCTATCTAACTATCTATCTATCTATCTATCTATCTATCTATCTATCTATCGCAGACACATAATGCCTTTATATATCTATTACCTATCGTAACTTCTTCCTGTCTCTGATTATCTGTTATATTCAGTTCATATCTATCTATCTATCTATCTATATATATATATATATATATATATATATATATATATATATATATATATCGCACACATAATATCCATCTCTCTCTCTCTCTCTCTCTATATATATATATATATATATATATATCTTAGATTGTTTATAACCACTATCTCTATTTATCTCAGTCTATTTATACCTACCTACCTACCTACCTAAGCAACGATCATTCTATTTATATATCTATCTTCTATCTAAGATAGTTAATATCTATTGATCTATCTTCACTTATCGCTACATACCTCTCTATACATATCAATCTTTTCGTACTTATTCTCATATTTTTTATACCTATCCACCTCTCTCTCTTTCCTTTTGTCTCTATATATATATATATATATATATATATATATATATATATATATATATATATATATATATGCATGAATGCCTGCATAAAGGTGTCCCTTTAGTGCAATATATACACCGATTATGTTTCTCACTCGATCTATGGTTGTTTATTAACTCGTGGCTAAAGCCGTTTCTCAGTGTCTCGCCATGTTGGCTAACCAGTCGCTATAGCAACGTTTACCGCGTCGTTGAATAATGTCGGATTAGCTCGACACAATTACCCATAATTCTCAAATGATTACCTCCTCAACATTTCCTGTAGGATACAAATTTCAAATTTCATATTTACATGCTGACCAAAAACACATTTTTTAAATTGATTGCTCTTAAAAAGGTTTTATTGGTTTATTTACGAATAAAAAGAAAAAAGTAAAAAAAATATATAGAAATAAGTAAAATTGAAATTTAAAATATAGAACCCTATCTATCTATCTATCTATCTATCTATCTATCTATCTATCTCTGTCTTTTTATATCTAATTAATGATCTATCTGTCCGAATACCCAACGCTGATCGTATCTAGGTCTACATAGATCATATGTAATTTTCTATATATCTAAGCCACTCTCCTCCCCTCCTTCACTCTCTCTCTCTATATATATATATATATATATATATATATATATATATATATATATATATATATCAGTCGGTCTATCTTATCTAAGTTCATTCTTATCTGCCTGTATCATGTATGATTATTTATCTATCTAAATTGTTCATATGTATCTAGCTATCTTACACAAGGTCGATCTTATCTGCTTATAACATCTGTACGTCTATCTATCTATCTATCTATCTATCTATCTATCTATATAAGTCTATATATATCTAGTTCTCTCTCTCTCTCTTCCAGTCTGTCTGTTTGTCTATCTCTCTCTCTCTCTATGTATCTGTCTATCTAATGCCAAACATCCGTTTATATCATATATAAGTCTATCGATCTCTCCATCTAATTTAGCTCTCTATTTATCTAATTTATATATCTATCAAATTTTACTCATATCTATTATCTATCTTATCTAAAGCCTTATCTCCTTAGATTATATATATATCGCGGTCTCTCACTCTCACTCTCTCTCTCTCTCTATCTATCTATCTATCTATCTACGTCTGTCTGTCTGTCTGTCTGTCTGTCTGCCCCTCTGTCTACTTATTTTATCTAAGGCCGATCTTATCTGCTTATATCAAATGCAAATCTATCTAATTTAAATCTCCATTTGTCTATGTAATCTATCTATCTATCTATCTATCTATCTATCTATCTATCTATCTATCTATCGCTTTTGCATGATTAATGACAATGGCGGATGAATGTGCCCAATATACAAGTTAAGTTGACATAAGTTGTAGCAAGCGTTCATATATAAGAAGACATAGCATATGTTTTTGTAGAAAGAATTAGTTTGATAGTTGCAAATTTGCATACATTAAATCAATAGGTAAACTTATATCGGTAGAATTAGGGTCTAAATAGAAAGGTATCTATAAAGTTTTTATACGAATATATTGCTCGACGCACTGCTGTAATCAGATACCCAACTGAATAAACACATCATTTTTGTTCCTTTAACTTCGTCATATTCTTCCGTCTACTTTGCAACCGACTACGTTAACACCTTCTTCAATCTTCCATAATCGCCAAGAAAAAAAACATCTACAACAGTTTCAGCGAGGGGTTTTGTGGTCTTGGCCTCGCGTCAGTACCAAATCTTAAATTTGCCGCCGATTCCCTGCGTCCGTAGCGTAGCGGGGGATCGCTTTACGCGAGACAAGCAAATTTCGACGAGGAAGACACGCGAGTTAGTGTTCACCAAATCGTGGACGCCTTTCTTCCCGACTGTTACGCATATATACCCCCAAATTCTATGCGGCTTCACGTTTCGTCGTCATTTTTATTACAAGCCTTCGTTCGATTTCATCATCATCATTGACATCTGTCTATCAATAATTTAATATATATTTATCTATCAAACTTCAATCATATCTATCTGTCTATCTAATCAATCTATAACAGTCTCTAATCTATTTTACAGTTGCCTCATTTATATACAACTATTGAAATCTATCAATTAATATCGCCCGGTTTACACTCCTCCTAGGTCCTTTGGATAGGAAAAGAGGATTAGGATTAAGTTTCCGGTTTTTTTTTAATGTTTCTCATTCTCTTTCACTCCCGGTCGTCCCTTGCGTCTTAGTGGCATTATCGCCTTGCTTGGGGTGAATTGATTAAACAAACAGTCTACCGTAGTTTATTTGAACCTGTTCATATCTATCTATCTATCTATCTATCTATCTATCTATCTATCTATCTATCTCAGTCTCTTCACTATCTATCTATCCTAGTTTATTCAAATATCTATCTCAGTTTCTTCATTATCTATCCATCTATCTATCTCAGTCTCATCATTATCTATCTATCTATCTATCTATCTATCTATCTATTACACTTATCATAGCGGTCTATCAACAACACCCCATTTTTATACGTCTATAAACATCTATGAAAATAAATTCATAACAAACATACAGTATATATATCTATCTATCTGTAACTCTCTCTCTCTCTCTCTATATATATATATATATATATATATATATATATATATATATATATATATATATATATATATACACACATACATACACACATATATATATATTACAGTGTAGTCTTTGCCATCTATGTACACTTTCTCCATATATATCTACTGCTATCTGTCAAAATAGATTCACATCTATTTGTCCCCATATGTTCATATCGATCTGTTTTGACTTCACGGTTTTGTCTCTATCATAAATATCTATTTCTTTATATATCTATAAGCATATATATTTATATACATTTATACATACGTATATACATACATATATATATATATATATATATATATATATATATATATATATATATATATATATATATACACACACACCTACTCAAAAAAGTCGCAACGGATTAATAGTTTTTTTTCCCCCCACGCTAATATTGTCTTTATCAATATAATCGTTATCATCTGGGTTAGTGTCTGATTATCGTTTCTTCTTCTTTATAGCGAACCCGTTCTCTATTGATATTTGTCTTCTTGTCATCAAACAATCAAGTTTATGTCTGTCACTAATTCCCACAGAAACACTAAACTCTAATCAGAAGCGTTTATCTCCGTCTCTTTCTTTCTATCTTTCTATCTATTTATCAATCCAATTGTTCCTATCTAAATCTGTTCAAATCATATGTAACTCTGTATATAGCTCGGCCTGTTTTCGTCTACCTAAGTCACTTCGTATCTAAGTCACTTCGTATCTAAGTCACTTCGTATCTAAGTCATTTCGTATCATATATAATTGTACATATGTAAGTTTGTTTCTACATCTCTATATATCTACCTCTGTTTATTTATGTCTACGACAAGCTATAGATATCAATTGTACAGTGGCATCTAAATGTGGCTATACCAATCTATTTAACCTAGCCTATTCGTATCTATCTATCTATCTATCTATCTATCTATCTATCTATCTCAGACTGATAACATCTCATACAGGTCATATCTATCTATCTATCTATCTATCTATCTATCTATCTATCTATCTCAGACTGATCACATCTCATACAGGTCATATCTATCTATCTATCTATCTATCTATCTATCTATCTATCTATCTCAGACTGATCACATCTCATACAGGTCATATCTATCTATCTATCTATCTATCTATCTCAGACTGATCACATCTCATATAGGTCATATCTATCTATCTATCTATCTATCTATCTATCTATCTATCTATCTATCTCAGACTGATCACATCTCATATAGGTCATATCTATCTATCTATCTATCTATCTATCTATCTATCTATCTATCTATCTATCTATCTCAGACTGATCACATCTCATATAGGTCATATCTATCTATCTATCTATCTATCTATCTATCTATCTATCTATCTATCTATCTCAGACTGATCACATCTCATACAGGTCATATCTATCTATCTATCTATCTATCTTACTGTTTACCTCAGACTGTTCACATCTGTCTCATTCAGTTTAAATCTATCTATCTGTGTGTCTGTCTGTCTGTCCATCTGTCTATCTTTCTCAGTCTGTTGATATCTATCTATCTGAATTCGATTCGCATACATGATTACTTTTTGAAGGGTTGTGCTAAACTTACTCCTGTGCTGAACACTGAAATCGAACCCTGTTCTCTTTTCTCTAAACATAAATTTATAACACCATCAAACATACGCACTTTTTGTAACTCACACATGTCTACAAACTTCGCAAAATTGGCGAAATATTAAACACCTATATATGCTTATAGCGAACATTTTCATAAGTATAAACAAATATTGATATATTTGCGTATATATAAATATAAATATTCACATCTGGGCGCGTGTTTTATCTACAGGTATATGTGTTCGATAATCAATGCATATACATGAAGGTAAAACATAGGCTACATATAAATATACATTTGTTTTTCGTATACACTTGAAGCTTCTCTAAACGTTTTTTCATATATAAAAAAGTTATCAAAGATATACATATATTCTTGAAAATAGATTTTATATTTAGTCTAAATTTAGAGACAGAACATTAATATAAGAAAAAAAAACATATAAATAATCACATATATTTTTATATTTACTAAATATACCTATATAAGGCATAATTGAATATTTCCATCTCTCCGCGTCTCTCCCCCTCTCTTCTAATGCTTACCTATATTTAATAATTACAGATGTTGTGATATACAATATATATTGCAGACAAGGTAAATATATATATCAGTGGGATCTCAAAATAGGTTTGTGGCATCCAAGTTTAATCTAAGTTGAAATCTTCTTCAGTAGAGTTTAAAAATAAAAGGAAAATAGTGCAAAGCAGACAATAGTATTTTGTGGGGATTTTCGTTTACGAAATTATACTAAAAACTGGAACGATTCCGATATAACGAAACGAAACAACTAGGAAAGCTTTCGTCTAGAATAAAAATATATATTTGTACTGCGTTTCATCTGCTTCTATACGAGTACATTTCCATCTATACGTTATTTATTAATAAAGAGATATTTTAAAAGTTAAGAAAAATTAATACGAAAATAAGAAGTTCTTTCTCTCTTACACTCTACGTATCTATCTATCTATCTATCTATCTATCTATCTATTTCTGCCTGTTCACATCTATTTGTCCATCTCTCTGACTTTTTATATCTATCACTGTCTTTTCACATCTATCTATCTATCTATCTATCTATCTATCTATCTATCTATCTTTCTTTCTTTCTGACTGTCTGCCTATCTATCTAGCTAGCTAGCTATCTATCAATATTTATAGCTAATTATAAAAAAAAACTGGCCACAGAAAAAGAACCCCAATGAGAATTGAAGTGTTTAGCGGAAAATATATATAACTATAGAGCGATTGTAGGTTAAACTTATATGCAAAAGTATCGACAGAAAGAAAATCCGTAGATACTCGAAACACACGTAAGAAATCTATCTATCTATCTATCTATCTATCTATCTATCTATCTATCTATCTATCTCGGACTATTCATATCTATCTATCTATCTATCTATCTATCTATCTATCTATCTATCTATCTATCTGTCTGTCTGTCTGTCGGCCTGGATATCTATCTGTTAATATCTATATCTGAATGTAATAAAAAATATATATCCACAATTTATATACATTGATTTGAAAAGGCGGTAAACACGTTTATAGGAGTCTGCGCCGTAAGCTATAGCTGTGCGTTTTATATAAATGAAAATATATGTAAACAAAGACACGTGGTTGGACATTACTGTTGTCTTTAATCAACACGTGTAAACGTTCTCGTATCAAAGTGTTACGTTTAAATACATTGCATATATAAGTAAAGAAATGTACACATAAGTATATAAATTTCTATATACGTTTATATATAGGTGTAATTATCGGCCAAGTTCTGAGTGTATGTATGTCTCTGTTGAAAGTATATAAAAACTTTTATGAAGAATTTGTTTTAAAAAAATAGTAAGTCTTTTTGGAAATTCTGTTTGTGGTTTTATCTTTTGGTGAAGTTGTTGTTGCTGTGTTTGTTTATCAGTCTTTTTGTTAAGTGTTTTTTGAAATCCTTCAGTTCTCTTTCGCTGTCATTCGCTCTTTCTTTATACCTCTATCTCATTCCTCTCTCGTTTTCCCTCTCTCTCTCTCTCTCTCTCTCTCTGTTTCTTTCTTTCTTTCAATATCTCTCTGTTTCTTTCTGTTCTACTGTTTCTCTCTCTTTCTCTACCCTCTCTCTCTCTCTCTCTCTCTCTCTCTCTCTCTCTCTATCTATCTATCTATCTATCTATCTATCTGTGTCTTGATCTGTCTGTCTGTCTATCTGTCTCTACCTCTCTCTTTTTTTCACTCGGCCTGATTATTTCGACGCACTTTTTCGCCTCTCGCTCTTTTTCTATTCCTCTACCTTTTCTTCCTTCCCTTCCTCCTCCTTTTTTCCCTCTGTATTGTAAACGCTCTTTCCACCCCTCCCTCTCTCTCTCTCTCCCTCTCTCTCTTATTCATTGCTTTTCTCCCTCGCTGTTTCGCTGCGCCTGATTGTTTTTTTTTCTTTTCAGTTTTTTCGTCTCTAGCTATCTCTCTTTTCCGTCTCCTTTTCTCCGTCTCTCCCGTCTCTATTATTTATTGCATCTTCTTGCTTTCCCTTTCTTTACCCCCCTCTCTCTCTCTCTCTCTCTCTCTCTCGCTCATCTTCCCTCTCTCTCTCATTCACCCTCTCTCTTTCTTATTCTTCTCTCTCTTTCTCTCTGCCTGATTTTTCCTCTAACTCTCTTACTATCACTCTTTCTGCAAACTTTCTTTTTTCTCCCACCCCATTATTCTTTTCCCCTCTGTTTCTTGTAGGAACCCTCTCTTATTCACTACATCATCTACATCTCTCTCTCTTTCTCTCTCTCTCTCTGTTGTTGTTGTTGTTGTTCTTCTTCTTCTTCTTCTTCTTCTTCTTCTTCTTCTTCTTCTTCTTCTTTGTCGTTCTCGTTTTTAATTTGATTTGATTTTACCTATATTTTTCGTTTGTCCTCTTGCGAATTCGTACAACCTTCGCATGTTTGAAACCAAAAAATTAAAAAAAATAGAATAAAATTTAACGCGGTTGGATATAAGGAATTTTCAAAATTACGGAGCTTTACGAACAAAGGATACTTGAAGCGGACCTCGGGATACGAACATCGAAATCACACGACTATGATACATTGGCTTAAACGAAAAAAATATCAAGTGAACGAAAAACATGTTTTAAAAAGAAACGAAAAGAAATTGACGGGACCACAAATTATTCAATAAACAAAAAGAAATTAAAATTATATATATATATATATATATATACACTGAGATATCTATACTGATATATACATATATATCAAAAAAGGGATATTTTATTTTGCCTCCGCAAAAGCTGAAATGTTATATAGATAAGAAATTAATGAAAAAGATTTTTAAAGAAACTGTACAATAATTAGGTGAAAGAAACGTCAAATTGAATAATTAATATTGAAAGGAACTCCATAATAGCATAAAAATTGGGAGAGGTTGAACTGTAAGGGGAACTATCCGCTGACAAAGGAATAAACTACAATAAAAACAAAAAACAAAAAACAAAAAGATCTGAAAAACTGCAAACTTTTTAATAAGCTTAAAAAAAGTGTTTACGCAAAGGTAAAAAATAGTAATAGAGATACTCGTTCATTGTCAACACATCAGAAACTGGACACACACACACAAGTGAATGCTAAAGGGAAAAAAAAGGCGCGAAATAACGAACCAATAAGGCATCTGCCTTTCCATTTAGTAATCTCTTAAAATTACGGACCAGAAAACATCTTGAGACAACGTGCATAAAACAGAAACCAGAAGGAATCACATTATAAAGAATTAATTTTGTAAGGATATAAGAAGAAAATACGAAATTAAATCATAATTTGTGCCAAGTGTTGTCTTTTCAACTGTGAAATATAAAAACAATCTCAAATAAAATACATTAGACAACAGTTTATTTTCACAACATATACGTATAAGACATACTTATATATATAAATATATATATATATATATGTATATATATATATCCCTATATATGTGTGTGTGTATAATATATAGATAAATATACATATATATATATATCGAATATATCTAATTTATATATATATATACATATATGCATCAAATGAACAACCTAAATACAAAATATTTAAAAATTGGTTGTTAGCAACGAACAAAAGATTTCATAGGTCATCAATAACTATCTATCCATATCTATATCTATATATCTATATATCTATATATATATAAATATATATATATTGAATCACTATATGTGCCTATCTGCATCAAGTAGTCAAAAGGTAGGAAGAAATCCATAGTATAAAGTCGAAACGTCATAAAGTTCGTTTAACTCTAATTATAACAATCAAATTTCTATTATTATTATTTCTTTTTTAATTTGCGACCTAATAGCTTTATAAAATAAAATCGATTAGGACCAATATTATAATCTTCCACCACTACAGAAATCTTTAATTAAGATTTACGCATCTGGAAGTACAATTGACGAACCGAAACAGAAAGGGGATGTAACTCCAAACAACACTCACAAAGTCGTTAAAAAAATGTCCCTGCTAAAAAAGCAAAAAAAAAAAAAGTTCAAACAACAAAGATGATTTTTAAAAAAGCAACGTCGCATTAAATAATAATAATAATAATAATAATAATAATAATAATAATAATAATAATAATAATTGTTGCGGCATTAACAAATAGAAAAGAACAAACATTATCCCCAATTGATACAAACAACGTGAATGTAAAACATTCGAAAAAAAAAAAGTCATGTTTGTAAATACATGAATGTCCGAGAAAGCATCCCCATAGATAAAACATGAATTAAAAGAATAATTAATGAAAAAAAAAAGCATTTGACACAACCACAGCAATCTAAAAGGACACATGAAAAATCAATTTAAGCAATAGGCATATTAACGAGACAATTTGAAATCGAGTGAACACAGGACACCCACTTTTTTGATGTTTGTCAAAGAAAATGCCATGATAGTTCTAAAGGAATCCACGGTTCTTATTGTCATCCTGGTTCTGCTGGTTGGGTAAGTAATCAAATCCTATTACATTTAATTACATTATCTTTTTTCTTTATATATATATATATATATATATATATATATATATATATATATATATATAGAAAAAATATACTGAAAAAACAAAACAAAAATCCTAATATGCGATTATGCTGTTTTAATTAGGATTTTTGTTTGTTTTTCAGTATATTTTTTTTCATACTGTCGGATCTATATCCATATATATTTGCTATATATATATATATATATATATATATATATATATATATATATATATATATATATATATATGTATATATACATATTTAAATATAACAGAAAAAGAATGTCTATTATGTTTCATCAGGAGCCGTTCTAAATTTCATATGGTCGCTTGAATTTAGGGTGAAAATAAAGCCAAAAATTGTCCAACATTTGGACATTTTTTATTAAGCTGGTCCTTGATCTAAGCTTTCGGCTCACATGAGCCATCTTCAGAGAGGTTATGCGGCCATTTAAACAGAGATACCCGCCATCAAATATTATGTTGACATAGAAGATTGCTATGCGACGATAATGGCCGCGGAATAGCAGACACAGGTCGAAAAATTGTCTTTATTTTCAGCCGAAATTAAAGCAAATATACGGAGTTTAGAACGGCTCATGATCAAACCTAATAGACATTCATTATTTAACAATATCTATCTATCTATATATCTATATATATATATATTATTCTTATCGAAATTTCTGAAGAATAATGACTGAGAAAATCACAAAACTCAGGACCTTTATAATCAGATATAAGATTCAATATTTATCGATGTTGACTTCTGAGGTTCGTAATTTTCTCAAACATTACGCTTCGGGACCTTCGATAATAATTATATACTTTATTTTATATGATTATATATATAAAGTAAGCTGTACCTATATATTTAATATTTTCAAATTTCATATTTAACTTAGGGTACACTAATGCAACAGTCTGACCCTAGGCCGTGGGTAGTGGAATTTTGATTTACAGAGAGATTACATATACCCTGACCCAACGCAGGAACTACGATCAGTGCATCAATCCCTATAATTCTTAGCAATTCCGATTCGTATTTAGCATATATATATATATATATATATATATATATATATATATATATATATATATATATATATATATACGATTACAATATATTTTATTTACTCATTTAAAATGCTATTTCTCGCTTTGCGATTTATCAAATTGGGTAGTTGCTTATTAATTTAATTACATATATTAAAGGTTTTCCTAAAGGAATTGAAAACAGAGAACTTTTATATACGCATGAAAAGGAATACACACACAATATATATATATATATATATATATATATATATATATATATATATATATATATATTATTATTATTATTATTATTATTTTCGCCAACATTGTTAAATTTCAATCAGGATTATATATGTATTCATTCATGTCGAATACACGCACGCACACACACACACGTACATGCATATACACACACACATACACAAACACGCACGCACACACACTGACACACACACACACACACACGCACACACACACATATATATATATATATATATATATATATATATATATATTATAGCATTACCCTAGCAAGGCGTGAAGCCACTAGGATGCAAGGGGTTGCAGAAGATTTGGAGCGAGAGCAGATAGGAGTGATAGAAGAAAGGATGAGGAGAGGGATAGTGGGTAGATCAAGGTAACTGGAGGTGTCGATTGACATTACATTTGAATAGTTGGAGATTATAGCTCTCAGGGAAACAGTAATTGGGAAGGGTGTTCCACAGGCGAGAGGTGCGAGGTATGAAGCTATTGGAGTAGAAGAGACGGCTACATTTAAAAGTTCCTATAGTGTAAGGGTGGGAGCGGGATGCCAGCCTCGTAGGGCGCTTGAATTCACGGAGTCTGGGAACCAGTGAAAGCAGCTCATCAGAGCAATTACCATGGAAGTATTTGTAGAAAAGACAGAGAGAGGCAACGGCGCGTCTGTGAGAGGGTGACTGCTGTAGACGAGACGCCATATATATATATATATATATATATATATATATATATATATATATATATATATATATATATATATTAAAAGGCTCAAACACTAATATTCCATGGTTATAATTTATTGCATTGGAATCGTAATGACAATCCAATTCATTTAAAGACAAGAGGAAAAACTAATCTTGGCCGAAGCGTTTCATCCTTTGATCGACTTTATCAAGGCAAATGTAAAAGGTTATTTTGTTGCGCGCGTTTATAAACAAAAGTAAGGATATAATTGGTTTATCAAGATTTTAAACTTGATAACGGTCATACGTATTCAACAGGTTGTTGGAAAGCCAGTCGTTAAAAATGTGGAAGACACCTATCCCATCTAAACAACTTCAAAATAGTCACAACCACTTCACAGACTATTATGGATATGATCAGAACTAAAATTCAGAAGTAAGGACATATAAAATAAACTGCCAAAACTGTTCCTCAAAATACACTGGGGAAACATGCAGAAATTAAAATAAAAACGTATCTTTGAACACAAAAGGGACCTTATGCATAATAATTTATCAAATGATTTAGTCATACATAGAAATAAATTCAACCACAATTTTGATCTAAAAATACCACACTTTCTAAAAGAGAAAGGAATTTACTCAAAAGTAAAATTCTCGCGAGTGCAGCTATCGAATATTATCAAAATATAAATCTACGGCCTAGTTTATTTCCAAATTTCATCTTTCCAGAAAGAATTACTACTTTTCCAAGCAGACATACACGACCACAAAATATTTATAAAAACAGTTAAATGCATTACCTCATGTCTGAAAATATATGAGACACACGTCCATCCGAAACCATAACAATTTGATCCAAATTTAAACAATATTTATCTATTAAAAAGAAAATATTTGTTGAACATTACTCGCTTAATTTTGTCTTATCACACTTTGAATTATGACACTCAGTGTCCTCCATATGCTTTGACAAATCTTTGAACCACCTGATGAATATTCATGAACGTTCTCAAATTTAAAAGCCTTGATAAACAAATGACGTCATTGCTCTTGTATGTAAACACGAGACAAGGTAGAGTATAGGGAGGGATTAATTTCATATTTCTCTTAAGCATGCTTTATAACTTCAGACACATACATAGAAAAACACACATTAAGTTAAAAAATAAAAATCATGATAATGGCTAAAAGAATAGGCGAAACGTTTCGGATTTGCAAAACTTTTAGAGACATTTTCCAGAAAAAAACACAAAAAATATAATAAAAGACTTAATTAATACACTTCTCTCTTTACTGAAATTTATATATATATATATATATATATATATATATATATATATATATATATATATAAACTCAGCACTAGTATATTGTGCATGAAACTGGTGAGGGATTGATGGCCTGTCTATGTTCCGGTGTAGCGTTACATGAAAATTAACTCATCCACCTCCCGACATCTGAACTTACTTTTCTATTTAGCGTAGATCTGACATTTAATTGGTTAATCAAGACATACCCACAAATCTATTTTAATCCTGACCTTATGTCCACACCCTTTTTTTTAAATTTCCTTAAGAATTATTTTAATCACCAGTTACTTTCCACCGCCTGAAGAAGTAGAATCGTAGCATTGAAATATGAAAGCTTTTTTGTAGCGATTTCAACATATATATATATATATATATATATATATATATATATATATATATATTGATCCTGACCTGGAATCTCAGCTTCAGTCACTCACTCACCGCCATTTGCTTCCCTGTGCCTTTTCTATAAATGTTTTCATGTTAATTGTACCTGGACTTTATGAATTTAAACGCTGTATTAGATTGGCAACAAGGCCTCACAATTTTACAGTTGAATTGGCTAGAGGTAACCGTAAGTTCTATGCTAACAGTTTCTTTTCTCGCACTTCTTGCTTATGGAATTCTCTTCGGGCTTCATGCTTTCCAGTCAACTTTGATCTTCAAAAATTTAAATGGAGTGCCAATCGTTATCTACTGTCCTCCTGATTACTCTTTTATTGTTCTTGCTAAATTTTCGCTTGTGGAACTCTCTTCCAGCTTCTTGCTTTCCAGTCAATTTTGATCTTCAAAAATTTAAATGCAATGTCAATCGTTATCCACTGTCTTCCTGATTACTCTTTTATTTTTACGATCCTTACTGGGGTTTCTGTTTCCTAATTGAATTTATATATATATATATATATATATATATATATATATAGTCATCCACAAACAGACTGTTTCGCTGTATCACAGTTCATCAGTGTGGCTAGACATCCGGTTGCCTGTAGCTAGTATCGAGACCCAACTGAATAGACGTCAGTCCAGGATTCTACCACTAAGCCGTTGGCGCACGCCTAGGATGTAAATGAATTTAAGCGTATTTATTTTTCGATAAATACACAGTGACTGAGTGAACTCGATTCGATTTACCGACGAGTATATATATATATATATATATATATATATATATATATATATATATATATATATATATATACTGCATTTCAAAGTATTAACGAGGTGACATTTTTTCATGTTGTCCAAAAACTACCCGTCGAAATTTCACGAAATTTTCACAGTGGGAATAGATATATGCGCAAGCTGTATAAAATCTGTATTGTTCTGCGCAACATGAAACAAATGGTGGCCATTTGTAATATTAACTCTATATAGATGTGTTCTATACTATAAACGAGCGTTATTATGTTCGTGCAATTATGTGTCACTGAGAAAGATATTAAAACATTTGAACTTTACATAGGCAACCCCTACATTAGAAATATTTAAAATAATTCAAAGATATTATCAAACTGTGAAAAAATTTGTTGCAGCTCTCACGAAGGTGCGTAAGAAGGCGATAATTGTCACTCGAGGGGTGTTTTCAGGCGTTCTTTGTCAAGGATGAAACGTTAAGCTGCAAATAACCCAGGCCTGCCCAGTAGAACACTTTTCTTTGAGCATTGGAGAAGCAACATGTAGTTTGAAAAAAATGTTGAGGTGGATGGTATGCCAAGATATGTTCTTGATCTTCAGGAGGATTCAGAGAATGATAGAGACAATGGGAGAAGTTCTCATGAGGCTCAGCACCAAACACTAAGAAGATCGCAAATAGAATGACACCCGCCCAGATGTATGGATGACTATGTAACATGAGATGGGATCAAGAGATCGAGGTGGGGAGGGGGGGCTGGTATCGGGTAGTTTGAAAAAAAATTACCTTATGGACGTCCGTACGTAAAAAGAATCTCGTGGGGAAGCCATATTGTTTTTATGCTGACAAATTGACGCAAAATCACGGCGACCACGAGATTTGAGAAAATATAAATATGCAGTGTACGAAAGACTGAAGTTAGTCTACGAACGACCAGACAATACAACATCTACAAGCTATTTCGGCATATCTGTTATTAGATGGCCTGGTTGGCGAAAGTGAAATTGATAGCGAGACTGCAAAAAAAATCCACGACCTCGCAAGCTTTATGTCCCTGTTTTTAGAAGGAGACGCCCTGGCCTTATATCTCCAGTTGACCAAAGAGGATCAACGGGATGCTAGGTAAATAGAGGCAAAGTAAAAAACAGCCTTTACGGAAGAACCTTTTTTCTGCATAGGCGAAGCTAGTGAAGATGCGGTGGACCGGCGAAGCCGTTGATGTGTATGCAACGAAATACAAAGACGGGCCTGAATCTATACCGATTGAAGAGAAGCTTTGGGTCAAGCCAACTGGAGCCCGCTGCACGACGAAATGGACAAGAGGAACGGTTACCGGGGCGCAGTCGCGCAACACTGTTTAGGTCGATGGTATGCCAAGACATGTTCTTGACCTTCAGGAGGATTCAGAGAATGATGGGGACAATGGGAGAAGTTGCCATGAGGCTCAGTGCCAAACACTGAAGAGATCGCAAAGAGAGCGACACCCGCCCAGATGGATAAATGGTCATGAGATCGGGGGGGGGTGGGTAGCGTGTAGTTTTAAAAAAAAGAAAAAAAAAACTTACCTTATGGACGTCCGTACGTAAAAAACGTTGGGAAGACATATTGTTTTTCGTCTGACAAACTGACGCAAAATCACGGCGACCACGACAGTGTACAGAAACACTCACTATAATCTTCTGAAAAAAGGGAGATACATAATTGTGACCACTTACAAAGCTTCGATTGACAAAAGTACATATACAAATGTGTTTGCAAAGGGCAAATATGAAGGTCGATTTCTCGAAAGTTATGTTCACAGATGAAAGTCGTTCAAAACTTGATGGCCCTGATTATTGGAGCATAGGTTGGGTCATAAATGAACGAGATCGTCATCAACGCTTGACACGCCAACAGAGGAGGTATTATGATTTGGGCTGGTATTATTAGAGGTATCATGATTGGTCCGTGGAGAGTGCCTGACGATACGAAAAGAACCGCAGATGCTTATATAGCCTTATTGAAAGAGCACATGGAATCTTGGCTGAAAAAAAACAAAGAATCACCTTCAGGAGAACCATCGTATTTATGCAAGATAATGTTCCTTCGCATTCAGCGCATAAAACTACGGAGTACCGGCAGAAATTAGGCTTCTGTGGACCTCGAAAGACGAACTGGCCGGTAAATTCACCAGTTGAAATCTTGTAAGGCATTCTGAAGTGACGTCTTTATGAGAATGCATGTCAATTTAGAAGCTACGGTGACATATGACAGGAAATAGTCCAAGTACCACGTGAAATTATATAAGAGGAGTTCCAGAAATTGACATGTTCGATGGACCAGCGCCTTTACCAAGTCATTTTAAAAAGAAGAATCACATATCTCATATTAACCAAATCCACTATCCTTTTTTTTTTAACTCTGTTTACTTTTTTTATTTCGATTAAATTTTGTCTTAAGTACTGTATGTATCCATAAATATCAATAAATGAAGCAATTAAAGTTGGTTGGTTAGTTGGGTTTTATGGCATATCAACCACTATAGGTCATTTAATACCAAATTTAGTTTTATATATATATATATATATATATATATATATATATATATATATTAGTACTATTAAATGTATAGCTGGCAACATTACTTTTTTCAAAAACATAATATCAGAGGCTTTGCTGTTGGATGTAGTTTATCGTCATACCCAGGACGTGGGTAAGGACTGGAAAAAACTGGGAGTTCACTATTTGCCCATAGCTGGAACCCTAACAGGTGCTACCACCCCGGGTCAGGGTGAACCTGGGAAAACCAGCAATTAAGAGGTGGTCCCATGGCTCCTCAAAACCTCCCGATCAGAGGCCTTGCTGTTGGATGCAATTTGACGACATAACCTGGACGAGCAATTAAAATGTTATATTCTGTTTTACAGGGGTTTTTATTAACCTCGCTAATAATTTGGCACACTAATAATTTAAGTAAATTAAGTAAATGACCGTAACTTTACAGAATAGGTGTATATACATATGTAGGTAGTCCTGGCTCTTAGTATTTATATATATATATATATATATATATATATATATATATATATACTTAGTAGAAAGCGCACAATATCAGTGATGCAGCTAACATACTATGTTGTATGGATCTAAGATCATAATGTAAATACTATAAACATAATGTAAATACTATGGCACTAGCAGCATGGGCCGGCGTTGCCCGTACTTGATTCAAGAATAGTACGACTCATACAGCAATCGCTATCACTTGACTTAAAATATTTTCCCCCTTCCTTGCCTTTAAAGGAGTGCCCTTGCCGTGCTGATGTTCCTACATGCCTTACTTCTTGCCTATCTCACACTGCGAATTTTTCTAAGCTCCATACTAAACATTAAATCTGTTACGAAAATAGAACTAAACAAAATGAACACAAAACGATCAGCTTTAAAAAAGGACTCATAACTGAAAAAAACGAATGAAAAAAGAATGTTAACAACAAATACTTTTTCGCACACAACCCAGTTCTGCAGAATCAGAATCAACGTTGAGTTTAAGCAAGTAAATGAGGCAATTGGAGTAAAGTGCCATGCCGATTTAAATTTTTCCCACTTGTGACGAATGCAGCTATCGATTTTTTTTGCATGTTAGCATGCTAGTTAACATTCATGTCAGTCAGCTGTTGGCCCTCACGCTGGCTAATAGAATCTTCCTGCCTATTCGTGGCAGCCAGCTATAGCTTCTAACTCTGGTCAGTAGAAAATGGCCGCAAACTACATGAAAACTGCCGTAGAAGCATGAAAAATCGAATATTTCCACTATCGATGGGAGTTGGGAAATGCAAAGTCGGTCTTGTTCTTCCCGCTGACTTGGAACATGTGCATGTGAATTTTGGTGCAATTCCGTCAAAAATTACGGCCGTGTATTCGTTACACACACACACATCCTGCCTTTTATAGAGAGAGATAAATAAATATATACTTAATGTAGATATGTTAAACAAAATAACAAAAATAATAGATTTCTCACAGCTACTTTCTCACGCACGTGTTAATTTGTCGTACTTTATATACTGTACACTAGTCTTTGTTTACAATTGAAAAGCACGCCACCGTCGTCAAACAAATTTCTGCTCTTATTTATTAAGCAAACTGTCATTGCGTGCAAGTTGGATATTCAGTATGAGATATCAAAGACCTGAGTCTATGTCGTTGGGCTCTGAACTGTCGCTGCGAAGCCTTAAATTGATATTACACTGCTGGCCTCAGTGTGCGTGAGAAACCGGGCAAGTTACTCTTACTACATATGTAGTATCAACAAAAATATTTATCGCTATGTTCACAAAATTATTATTGTTTTCTTTAATTTGTTTTTCAATTAATCATTCCGAATTTGACTAGATGATATTTATCTGCTCAGTTAAACTAAAGAGGGATGGGCACCGGCAGGTCTACTTGCCCACGACGTCCTACACAGGAATCCGACTATCGACCCAAATATCAGCATTATCTGTCTATATTTCTGAGATGAGGTATTATGTACACTATTTGCATTTTTCGGACTATTCGGTCGTAGACTCGAATGTCTGTCGAACTGAATCCTTTATTTCCCTCACTGGGGTAGACTGTTCTAATTCCACGTGCCGTGTATAATGGATGTCAGTTATCCTGTTAATTCCCTCACTGCCTTAACCCGGTATTGAACTCACTCTTTGGGTCCTGTCACTGGATCTAGCCAACGCCTTTATCCACTATCCTTGAGGACATCTGTCTATAAATTTCTGGGCATTATAAACCGAATGTCTCAGTAACCATTTTTTACCAGTGCTCATATTGCAATTTTTGTTGTTATCGCTTTTCTCTGACACTCCTTATTACTGGTTCCTATATTGTATTCATTTCTATGCTTTGTCGGCTCAGGAGATTTTTGTGGCTTGGCATATGTGCTGATTCCTTAAGTTTACGAATTTTCCAATTGTGTTCTTTGTCTATAATCTCAACCTGATCCCACAAAGAGTGGTGATGTCCCTTTTCTCTCTATATGTGGTCAGCCATGCCTGATTTTTCCACTTCCCCTCATGTTACACCTTTCTGGTGTTCTTGCAGCCTTACCTTAAGGAGGCGGCCTGTCTCTCCTTTATATTTCTTTCCGCAGCTACACAGGATAGCGTACACATATATATCAGCATGTATACTAGACCTGTGGAAGGAATTGGTCAGATGCTCCAGGCACACAACGACCCACACCCCTTCATGGGATTGATGATGATGATGAAGATGAAAATGATGTTCTACTCAGTTCATCTTATCTTCTAATACGTAGCGTGTCAGGATATGAGCGATCATGGCTCACCACAAATTCTATGTTTTCTCGCATTTAATAAGGTTTATATTTTCACTATCACCACCAGCCGTTGTTCTATCAAGCATTTACATGATTGCTATGTTACTTGCTTTATTTTTGTTCTGTCTCTTTTAACTTTATTTTGTCATGTGAGTGTCAGATTCGCTAGGCCCTCTTTCTTCATTATGCATCCTAGATATTCAACAGTTTTTTTTTCTGATTCTACGTATAAGTGCCCTTTTTAATTTTCAATTTTATTAAATTTCCTCGTTGTTTAAATAATCTGTCAATGGCATTCTCAGCATCCTTCTGTAGAACCACATACCTGTTGTCGCAACTCGTCTTCTAAAAAATATTCATTTTGGTATTTGATCCAGCTTTTAGGAGATTTTGAGGCTGAATTTTTCAGCAACTATTTCTGATTACTTTTGCTAGTATAAAATAGATTATTAAACGAAATCGTGCATCATTTAAATTGACAACAATTTCTATACGATATATGAACTCATCTTCTTCTCTGTAACATATAGCTTCGGGATGAGCAATAAGAATCTGGTTCTAAGACATTTTGCGTCCTGAACAATTTACCAGACAATTGTTCGATATTTGTGTCCTTAGACAAATCCGTTTTGACAATTGCGTACCTCAGATAAATTTTGAAGCTTTTAAAGGCACTTAACATAAATTTTGGAAAAACAGCATAAGTAGTAATCATAAATTTTCAAAAAAGGAATAAAATTTTAAAAATTAAAAGTTTATTTTGTTTAAAATGCAATGACAGATTAACAGCATTGCAAGATCGCTTACATCGCCAGTCTGTTTTTTTGTTTCATCGGCGTTTTATTTATGATAATGGTAGCGCAATTTCCTGCGTCCACAAATATATTTTCCACCAGGGTTTGATTTTTCGGAACTTAGCCATGGGTTCCAAATAAAATATAATCTATAAAATCCAGATTCTATAAGATGTTTGGGGTACACACTGCTTGACTGAAACTGCAAGTAGTTTTTTTTCTCTTGCTTCAAAAAGAAATTTCTTTTTTTTTTAATTATGCTACATATTTCGCTGCTCAATTAAGGCAATTGATATTGGTGGGCAAATTTCTATATTAAAGAACCCTTAAACAAAAATAAAACTTCATTTTTTAACAGAGGCATGCAATTATCCAGGTACCATTTATCTGGTGATGCAGATGTCCAGGGATGCAATTGTCAGGTACGCATTTGTCCAGGGCAGACCAGAGATGCAATTGTCAGGTACGCATTTGTCTAAATGTCTGGTATTGTTTTGCAGATATATTTGTCTAGGAATTTATCCAGGGATGATTGTCTGGTACGCAATTATGATATCCAGAGATGCAATTGTCTGGTACGCAGTTGTCTTGCAGATTCCAGAGATGCAATTGTCAGGGATGCAGATGTCCATAGATGAAATTGTCTGGTACGCTGCAGATATCAGAGATGCAATTGTAAAATGCAGATATTAAATGCAAATCTGGTACGCATTTTTAGGAAAGATATCCAGACAATTGTCCGGTTTGCAGTTGTCTCCAGGATGCAAGATATCCATTCAGATTTCTGGTACGCACGATTTGTCTAGCATTGTCTCAATGCAGATATCCAGAGATGCAATTGTCTGGTACGCAGTTGTCTCGGATGCAGATATCCAGAGATGCAATTGTCTGGTACCATCTCAGGATGCAGATATCCAGAGATGTAGTTGTCTCGGGACAGATATCCAGAGATGCAATTTCTGGTACGCATTTGTCCGGGATGCAGATATATCCAGGAATCTGCATTTGTTGCAGATATCAGAGACATTTGCATTTGTCTCAGGATGGATATGGATGCTCTAGGAATGCAGATAAGAATTACGCAGTTTTTGTCTACCAGAGATCAATTGTCTTACGCATTTGTCCTCGACATTTGTGTCCCTAGACAAATCCATTCTTCCAGAGATGCAAATTATGCGTACCTGCAGATATTCAATTGTTGGTAGGCGCCATGTCTCGGGATTATCCAGAGATGCAATTGTCTGGTACGCATTTGTCTCGGGATGCAGATATAAATTTCGGAACGCAGCTTGCAGATATAAGTAGTAATCATGAATTTTCAAATGCAAATTGCCTGGTCATTTGTCTAGGAAATTTAAAAATTGTCTGGTAAATGCAGATATCCAGAGATGCAATTGTCTACGCATTTGTCTTTATTTTCTCGGGATGTTTAAATTGTCCACAATCCAGAGATGCAATTGTCAGCATTTTGGGATGCAGAACATGCAATTGTCTGGGTACGCAAATTGTCTGGTACGCATTTCTCAGGATATATCCAGAGATGCAATTGTCTGGTACGCATTTGTCTCAGGATGCAGATATCAGAGATTTTTCAGAGATGCAATTGTCAGATTTTCTCCGGCATACATTTTCATTTTGTCTCGGGATGATATCCAGAGATATTGATCTGTCTGGTTTTTAAATTGTCTGGTACGCATTTGTCTCCAGATATCCAGAATAAATTTCAGGATGCAGTACGCACTCCAGGATGGGATTGATTTTCCGGAACTTAGATATCCAGAGGGTTCCAAAAACGCAGATATCCAGAGAAATATCGGGATGCAGATATCCAGAGAAATCCATTTGTCTCCGGGATCAGATATCCAAGATGTTTCTGCATTTTCCATTTGTCTCCGGGATGCAGATATCCAGAGATGAATTGTCTGGTACGCATTTGTCTCGGGATGCAATCCAGATGAGATGTGTACGCAGTTGTCTCGAGGATGCAGATATCAGAGATGCAATTGTCTGGTACGCATTTGTCTCGGGATGCAGATATCAGAGATCTACGCATTTGTCTCAGGGATGCAGATATCCAGAGATGCAATTGTCTACGCATTTGTCATGTTGTCTCTCCGGGAAGATAAATTACGCATTTGTCTCGGGATGCAGATATCAGAGATGCAATAATTATATTTGTGTCTCAGGATGCAGATATCCATACGCATTTGTCTCAGGATGCAGATATCCAGTACGCAATGCAATTCAGAGAAAACGATTTGTCTATTGCAGATATCCAGAGATGCAAAAAGTTGTCTATGCAGATATCAGAAAAGTAACTGCTGGATATCCAGAATGCAAAATTTGTCTCGGGAAGATATCAGAGATGCAATTATCTGGTACGCATTTGTCTAGGGATGCAGATGATATCCAGAGATGCAATTGTCTGTACGCATTTGTCTCAGGATGGCAATACAATTGTCTGGATATGATGCATTTGTCTGGGATGATATCCAGAGATGATGTCCAGGGATGCAGATATCAGAGATGCAATTGTCTGGTACGCATTTGTCTCGGGATGCAGATATCCAGAGATTTATTTTGTCCGGGATGCAGATATCCAGAGATGCAATTGCAATTTGTCTAGCATTTGTCAGGATGCAGATATCCAGAGATGCAATTGTCTACGCATTTGGGATGCAGATATCCAGAGATGCCTGGTACGCCTCAGGAGATGCAATATCCAGAGATCAGGTACGCATTTGTCTCGGGATGCAGATATCAGGATGCAAGGAATTTGATGCAGATATTAGATGATGTCAATTGTCTCCGGATGGTATATCCAGAGATGCAATTGTCTAGAATCTCAGGAGATATCCAGATGCAATTATTTGTCTCCGGACAGATTGTCCAGGGTCAGAGATACAATTGTCTGGTACGCATTTGTCTCAGATATCAGGATAGGAATGCAATTGTCTGGTAGATTTGTCTCGGGATCCAGAGATGCAAATCCAGAGATGCAATTTGTCTCTCGGGATGCAGATATCAGAGATGCAATTGTCTAGGAATGCAGATATCCAGAGATGCAATTGTCTGGTACGTATTTGTGTCTGGATATACGCAGTTGTACATTTGTCTCAGATATGGATGCAATTGTCTGAAACTGCAGATATCCAGAGATGCAATTGTCCAGCATTTGTCTTGATTCAAAAGATCTGGTTGAGTACGCATTTGTCTTGCAGATATTGCAATTATCTGTTGCATTTGTCTCGGGATGCAGATGTCCTGCAGATTAAATTGATGCAATTGGTACGCAGTTGTCTCGGGATGCAGATATCCAGAGATGCAATTATCTGGTACGCAGTTGTCTCCGGGAGGATATCCAGAGATAATAGCAGTTGTCTCGCAGATTATCCTGGTACGCAATTGTCTCAGGATGCAGATATCCAGATGTCCAGTCTCAGATGCAGATATTATCTGGTACGCAGTTGTCTCCTGGTACGCATTTGGGGATGCAGATATCCAGAGATGCAATTGTCTGGTACGCAGTTGTCTCCGGGATGCAGATATCCAGAGATGCAATTTACGGGGTACGCATTGTTGTCTAGGGGGATATCCAGAGAGATATCCAGAGATACAGATGCAATATTGTTGCATTTGTCTCTGGATATCCAGAGATGCAATTGCAGTTGTCTCGGGATGCAGATATCAGAGATGCAATTATCCGCAGCATTTGTCTCGGGATGCAGATATCCAGAGATGCAATTGTCTGGTACGCAGATTGATGCAATTGTAGGAATTTGCGGGATGCAGATATCCAGAGATGCAATTGTCTGGATACGCAGTTGTCTCATACAAATTGGAATGCGGGATATCCAGAGATGCAATTGTCAGATGTCCATGCAGATATCCAGAGATGCAATTGTCTGGTACGCAGTTGTCTCGGGATGCAGATATCCAGAGATGCAATTGTCTGGTACGCAGTTGTCTCGGGATGCAGATATCCAGAGATGCAATTGTCTGGTACGCATGCAATTGTCTAGGAATGCAGATATCCAGAGATGCAATTGTCTGGTACGCAGTTGATATCCTCAAATTGTCTGTACGCATTTGTCTCGGGATATATCCAGAGATGCAATTGAGATGCAATTGTCTCGGGGCAGATACGCAGAAATTGTTGTACGCATTTGTCTCGGGATGCAGATATCCAGAGATGCAATTGTCTGGTACGCATTTGTCTCGGGATGCAGATATCGGGATGCAGATATTTGTCCTGGGATGCATGCAATTGTCTGGTACGCATTTGTTCTGGGATGCAGATATCAGAGATGCAATTGTCTGGTAATGCATTTGTCTCGGGATGCAGATATCCAGAGATGCAAATGTCTGGTACGCATTTGTCTCGGGATGCAGATATCCAGAGATGCAATTGTCTGGTACGTAGTTGTCTCGGGATGCAGATATCAGAGATGCAATTGTCGGTACGCATTTGTCTAGGGATGCAGATATCCTGCACGCATTTGTCTGGATACGCATTTGTTCAGGAATGCAGATATCCAGAGATGCAATTGTCTGGTACGCATTTGTCTCGGGATGCAGATATCCAGAGATGCAATTGTCTGGTACGCATTTGTCTGCAGATATCCAGGATGCGCATTGTTGTACGCAAACGATGCAGATATCCAGAGATGCAATTGTCTGGTACGCAGTTGTCTCGGGATGCAGATATCCAGAGATGCAATTGTCTGGTACGCATTTGTCTCGGGATGCAGATATCCAGAGATGCAATTGTCTGGTACGCATTTGTCTCGGGATGCAGATATCCAGAGATGCAATTGTCTGGTACGCATTTGTCTCGGGATGCAGATATCCAGAGATGCAATTGTTTACGCATTTGTCTCGGGATGCAGATATCCAGAGATGCAATTGTCAGATCGGGATGGATATCCAGATATATTGAGATGCAATTGTCTGGGATGCAGATACGCAATTGTACAGATATCAGAGACGCATTTGTCTAGGAATGCAGATATCCAGAGATGCAATTGTTGGTACGCATTTGTCTCGGGATGTAGATATCAGGATGCAATTGCTGGTACGCATTTGTCTCAGGATGCAGATATCCAGAGATGCAATTGTCTGGTACGCATTTGTCTCGGGATGCAGATATCCAATTGTCTGGTACGCATTTGTCTCGGGATGCAGATATCCAGAGATTGTCTGGTACGCAGTTGTCTACGCATTTGTCTAGGATGCAGATATCCAGAGATGCAATGTCTGGTACGATTTGTCTAGGGATGCAGATATCCAGAGATGCAAAATTTGTCGGGATGCAGATATCCAGAGATGCAATTGTCTGGTACGCATTTGTCTCGGGATGCAGATATCCAGAGATATCTGGTAGAGATGCAGATATCAGAGATCAATTGTCTGGTACGCATTTGTCTTGTCAGATATCCAGAGGAGGAGATATCCAGAGATATCAGGGATGCATCCAGAGATGCAATTTTGGTACGCATTTTTGTCTCAGGGATGCAGATATCCAGAGATGCAATTGTCTGGTACGCATTGTCTGGTACGCATTTGTCTCGAGTTGGATGCAGATATCCAGAGATGCAATTGTCTGGTACGCATTTGTCTAGGAATGGATATCCAGAGACGCATTTGTCTCGGGATGCAGATATCCATTTGAGATATCAATTGTTGGTACGCAGTTGTCTCGGGATGCAGATATCCAGAGATGCAATTGTCTGGTACGCATTTGTCTCAGGATGCAGATATGATGCAATTGTCTGGTACGCATTTGTTAAGGATGCAGATATCCAGAGATGCAATTGTCTGGTACGCATTTGTGTCTGGGATGCAGGAGATTTGCAATTATTCTGTACGCATTTGTCTCCGGGATGCAGATATCCAGAGATGCAATTGTCTGGTACGCATTTGTCTCTGGGATGCAGATATCCAGAGATGCAATTGTCTGGTACGCATTTGTCTCGGGATGCAGATATCCAGAGATGCAATTGTTGGTACGCATTTGTCTCGGGATGCAGATATCCAGAGATTGTCTGGGGATTTGTCTCGGGATGCAGATATCCAGAGATGCAATTGTCTGGTACGCATTTGTCTCGGGATGCAGATATCCAGAGATGCAATTGTCTGGTACGCATTTGTCTCAGGATGCAGATATCCAGAGATGCAATTGTCTGGACGATAGCATTTGATGCAGATATCCAGAGATGCAATTGTCTGGTACGCATTTGTCTCGGGATGCAGATATCCAGAGATGCAATTGTCTGGTACGCATTTTGAATGCAGATATCCAGAGATGCAATTGTCTGGTACGCATTTATCTGGGATGCAGATATCCAGAGAGATTGCAATTTCGGGATGCAGTCGGGATGCAGATATCCAGAGATGCAATTGGTTCAGGATGCAGATATCCAGAGATGCGTTGGTACGCATTTGTCTCGGGATGCAGATATCCAGAGATGCAATTGTCTGGTGCATTTGTCTCTAGGGATGCAGATATCCAGAGATGCAATTGTCTGGTACGCATTTGTCTCTGGGATGCAGATATCCCATGCAGATATCAGAGATCTTGGGATTTTCAGATATCCAGAGATGCAATTGTTGGTACGCATTTGTCTAGGGAATGCAGATATCCAGAGATGCAATTGTTGGTACGCATTTGTTCAGGGGATGCAGATATCCAGAGATGCAATTGTCTCGGGATGCAGATATCCAGAGATGCAATTGTTGGTACGCAGTTGTCTCGGGATGCAGATATCCAGAGATGCAATTGTCTGGATATCCAGAGATGAAATTTGTCTCTAGGATGCAGATATCTAGAGATGCTATTTTCTGATACGCATTTTGTATAGGGATGCAGATATCCAGCATAGATGCAATTGTCTGGATTACGCATTTGTCTAAAGATGAAGATGTCCAGATTTGCATTTGTCTTGTATTGCATTTGTCTCGGGATGCAGATGTCCATAGATGCAATTGTCTAGTACGCAATTTTCTAGGGATGCAGATGTTCAGTACGCATCTGTCCCTTCACCCATAAATGCTCACATTTTATCCTGTGTAGGTCATGTCCCTTCAAAGTTAAATTTTACATTTTTTTTTTTTTTCATTTTTTTTTTTTTTTTAATTTTTTTTTGTTTGGCCTCCCAGCACCTGATACTCTATTCAATTACACAATCTCGTTCGATAGGTTTCACATTATCTCTCTCTGTTTCTTTTGATTTGAATAGGTCTTGTGAGTATCAAATTCTCTATGCACTCTAGTATGTGTCCTAACAACTTCGAATATTTCTTTCTGATTAGCGTCAGGAAAACAATTTATATTTGAATTGAAAATAAAAGTTGCGGTTTATCTAAGAATCTTTCTGATTCTTTAAATAATTTTCTATATCGCTTCACTGATGTTTTCTTCGGCGTAGAATGTTTCCAAATCTTTCAGATTCGTTCGAGTCTGTTAATGATAACCAGTTTTTAATTGATGCTACAAGAGACATTTAACCGTTCCAAATAAGTACAAAACTCTAACCTCCATCAAAGAAGAACCTTCTTAATTCAATGGTCTTGTTAGCGCTCCAGCCACTCTCTGGAGGCCCCAGGGTAGTCATTTAAATTGAAGGCGTTCAGGATCCTTGTTACAGTCTCATTCATCTTCTCAGGGTCCCAAAAGAATGTGTCCCTGAGATTCTCTTTCAGCTTGGGACCAACTGCAATTCACAGGAAGCAGGTTCTGAACTGTAGGCAGAGAAGGAGACAATTATGATTCCCATCAACCATCTCCCTGCTGTCATCAATTCGTCTTTACTCATCAGGGAGTACCCTGGGAACAAAGTTTGCACAAAATCAGATCTTCATGAATAATTCTCAGTGCATTTG